TAACGGTAATTACATTGAACCTTATGGGAAAATTTGCTTCGGGTCGTGACCAATTCGGGTCACGACCAGAATCGCGGAACGAATTAAGTTCGTGAACCGAGGTTCCACTGTATATAGATAGATCAATGGGAATGTGGACAAAGGGACTAAATTCATATTGTGTTAAAATTTAAGAGAGAACTTTTACAAAATGATGTACCATTGATACATGACACCAGAGAAATTATCTAAGACGTATAAAGGTACATTGAGGGGACATTTTACCATACATGGTAGACTTGTGAAAAAGAAGAAGGAAAAAAAGGATACAAATACATATGATGATGCAAAGAATTTTGAAGATTAATACTGAGATGAAACCAGAACTCTTTTTATTGAGACTTATGGATAGTCAGAAAAGACTTATGGACTTTTATATATGGTAACTGTAGCAAGACTATTATATGCACGATGATGGAGAAATACTGAAATACCCACAATGGAGGAATGGATTGTAAAGATGGCAGAATTAGCAGAAATGGCAAAACTGACCTGTTTGGTCAAGGATAAAACAATAAGTACTTTTATAAAAACTAGAAACCTTTTATGGACTTTTTGCTGAAATTGGAAAAAAATGAAATGGTGATTTCTGGATTTGTTGACTGAAAAAAAGGTTGAATATGAGAAGAAGGGATCTCTGTAATGTAATACTAAAGAGGGAGGAGGGGGATAATAAGTTTGTTTGTAACTACTCCAAAGAAGATTGTAAGTCACTTCTTTAATTATCTTTTTTTCCTTGCCTTTTTCTGCTTTCTTTACTTTTTATCTTTTTTCTTTTCCCAACTTTTATTTATATATTTTCATGTTTATCTTTCATGTTTGTAAAAATCTTCAATAATTTTTTTAAAAAAAGAAGAAAATCAATGGCAGAATAGTGCACCATGGGCTCTGTACACCCAAAATGACATCACTCAGTTCCCTAAGCACAAAGGGATGGAGTTAAATCAGCCACAGAGAATCTGTATGTTTCCATATTCCTGAACTACAACTCTCAACTTCACTGTTGGCCATGTTGACTTGAACCGCTAGGAGTTGAATTTCAGCAACATCTGAAAGGCCCTGCCTCCTCAGTTCTAATTTAAAAGCATGTGTTCAAAGATGTCCCTAGCTTATGCTCGGATTTCTCTTCAAATAGTATCAAGATACTCCCACCTTATGAAATATTTACTGAAGTCACCCACCTTCTTGAGCATCACATATTCATTCTCTGCAGTTATGTGCTTGTTGATTTCCTCTTCATACCTATTGGGAGAAAAGGGGACTTGTTTCACTCATTGCTTTTTGAAAAGATAAGTGCAAGAAAGGATTAACAGAGGAGCATCCCAATCATTTCATTAGATTTTTTAAAGAGTTGACTCTCATCAATAATTTTTTATAATAAACTCCACACATTCACTAGGAATAAAGTAGAGGAAAGAAATTCTACAACATTCACAAAACAAAAATAATAGTAGCTTAGGATTTAGTAGTGCTACAGAAGAACATTTACAGACATTCCAAATTTGGCATAAGAATCAGATCAAGTGTCCATCACATTCAACATAAGCAGCAGCTTGATGATTGCAGAAATAGTGGCTATTAACACTAGCAAGTTTTCCAAATTCAGATTATTTCAGAATGTCACTTGGGGTACAAGATGTGGGCAGTTTTTAAAAATGTAACTCTTAACCTCTGTTTATAAATCTTAGGGCAACTGTGTATATTAAGTATGACTGGATAAAATTCAGGTAGAGGCCTGTGGTCCTCTAAATTCTCTAGATGTCCTGAATTATTGCTCCCAACAATCCTAGCCAGCATGGCCTGGCAGTTGTAGTTGAAAGATTAAACAATCCTGGGTTCAGCTCAGTAATTGCATGCTTTTTCGTTCTTTCTAAAAACCAAATTCTAACAGTCAGGAGTGGTGGAGGGAATCCAAATTAGAGAAACGTAGCAGTTTGGATTCTTGCAAATAAATCAGTGTTACAGTCAGGAGTACCTATGTACATTTACTTTGGAATTCTGTGCCCAGCTATTGCTTTAAGGCAAAGGTAGGCAACTGGGTGCTTCCAAATCTTCCAGACCACCCTATTGTTAGATTTGTGGAATTAAGCCTTGTATCAAAATGCTATCCAGTCTGGCAATTAAAACGTAAGAGATTGAAAAGGCTCAGCCAAAAGGAAGATATATGTTATGAGGGAAAAACTGCTTTTAAAAATGGATAGTCGTGTATATCAAGTAAAAAGGTATACATTAGAAGAAATTCAGAGGAAAATGCATTGAAAAAAAATCATATCTGAGGTGCAAATGAGACAGAATGCATTCAGGTCTAGCTGGAAAAATGAATAAAATAAACTCCTCAGTCAGCACAGAGCAAAAACACAAACCAGGCTCCACTAACTTCCCTGAAGACTGAGGGAAGAGCCAGGTTTTTAAGGCCTTCCAAAAGGCCAACAGGCTTGGGGCCATCCACAGGACAGGCACAATGACAGTGAAGGCACACCTCTTAGGTCCAATTAAATGGCACTGTTTCACAGAAGGGACCTCCCCCACTTTCCAGATTTGATGGAATGGGCAGAAACCACTGGAGGACCACTTGAGTATCCTGTGCCATGTAGGTCTTTATAGGTGATAACCAGCACCATTAATTGCCATGAAATTGGGTCCCTGTGATGCTCTGATTCTGCCTATGCACTTCCCAGCCATATCCAGTTGGCCCATATCGGATCAGCATGTGAGACTGAATAGGTATTTAGCCTGATCAAGGAGAGCTCTTTTTATGCTCTTCTGCCTGTGTTCCTCACAATTTTTATGTCAAAAATAAATCTTGAGTTATAGTTGACTTTTGCTTAAAGGAAGACTAACAACTTGGTGAAAGCAGCTAAGGACTAAGAAGGCTAATGATTAAATGGCTGAAGTAGGATTATGCCATACCCCTGTCCTTGCAAAAAAACCCAAAAACTTTGAGAACATAATAAAGAGAATCAGACTGAAATGTTTTTATAAAGAACATTATTTCATTTATAATACCTACTTGATCCTGAAATCTGCCACAGCATCTTGCAGGTTCTTCTTTTCTGTATCTAGCCGTGGTCTCTCATTCAAAAGATTCTCCAGTTGCCTCCTGAGATGATTGATGTGAGCCTCCAAGAAAGGTTCAAAACTCCGACTTGTCACCTTTTGCTCCTGTAAGAGGCCCCATTTGGTCTCTAGAACTTTATTCTGTTGCTCAAGGAAACGGACCTGAATGAACACAAATAAGCTAACATAACATCATTTCCTAATGCTAACAAGAGCACGAATAGCTAAAAACTGCCACCAAAGCTATTATTGCTCATACCCTTTTCACTGCTTCAAAGAGTTTGCAAGGAATTGTTAGCAAGACCTTCAATGGGGAATAACCCAAAAGCAATCAGGCTGAATTTGATATTGAGTATTAATGGCCTCTCTCTTGAAGGCTAATATGATATCAGATGGTAAAGAGCAGATTCACTCAGCGGCCTAATACAGGGATGCGGCATTGAAATTGCCTGATATGTATGGGAAGAGTTAATTGATTTTAACACAACTTCAGTGACAACTCTCATAACCTCCTCCCACACTTTTAACTCTTTAGATATTATAGTGTTTACAACCATACAAATTAGATTTAGATGAAACTTGTTAGATCTACATCCAGCTTTTGGTACAGGAGCACAGGTTGATGTATATAGTGCTCCCTTCCATCCACTCCCAACAGCAATCCTGGGAGGTAGGGTGGACCCCACTGGTCCTACTTCAACATCTTAATCACTATACCACATTGGCTTTCAGGTAGCATCGAGTCAAAATCATGCAAAGCTACCTACCTTTCATCACAGTCTCCATACTCCTGATTTACTCTTAATTAGACTCTGTATCACTCATACCTCACCTTGCTAAATCAAATGGTTAAGATTTTATAAGAAGACTATAGGCCAGATGTAAAGAATTACATAATGGCAGAGCTTTTGAATTTATGTGGAGGTTTCATTTCATATAGATATATTCTCAGGTGTCACAGCCGATGGCAAAAGCTTGCTAGTGGAAATAGCTAAGTAGAGTCAGACAAGTTCATTCTTGGGTGGGAAACCACCCAGGAATCCCAAGACTGAAGACCAGATTGAGGACTTCCTAGAACAAGGCAATGGCAAGCTATTTCTCTACTTTGCCAAGAAAACCACAAGGAGTGTCCATGTAGTCTTCTGGAGTCAATCTTGACTTGAGGAAGATATTACCTTTTACTTCCAGGTAGGTAAAGACTGGATTTCAGCCTTAGGAGCTGGGATCATAGAATCGTTGAGTTAAATAGATCTTAGAAATTAAGTAATTCTCTTGCACAGTATACAAACTGTATCACAAAAGCTTACTGCATCTCCAAATAGCCAAAATGTTAGACATATATCTGAATTGTCATTATTTACAAGGGATAGTTTTCTATTAATTTACTAGTATTCTTACTTTGCTGTTGATGACTTTTAAAAAACAGTCTTCTAGCTTACAGTTATGTGCACTTCAGATTTTAACTCTTTCCCCAAGATTCCTAAAAATCAGACTTCTGCACTTGATCTTAGCCAAAAAGCTAAATGGTTATACACAGTGGGCCAAAATATACTTTGTCTCTGTAGATCTTACTGACAATTTTGTTTCATCTTAGCCCAAAGTAATAGGCAAAACATTGGGATTCCTTGGATTTCCATTAACCCAACTCTGAGCATTTGGGTATAGGCGTGCAATAGCAGTGGATTAAGGATATCCAATCAGACCCGACCTCTCTTCACAGGGATATATTCCTGACCAGTATTCCTGAGTTTTTTCATTCTCCTTAGATCTGCTAGATACCTAAATCAAATTATAATCCTGAAATATGGGAAGGCATTCTCCTTGGTTTGATTTGATGTCCTTCCTTCTGCTGTTCTGGAAAGGAGATACAAAGGTATCCCATTTGACCTAAGGCTTTGCTCATGCAGTGAAGGGGCTATTGAAAATGTAAAGCAAGTTTTGTTATATTGCCCATTATAAGCTGGCACACATTCAGATTTGATAATTCCACATTTAAGCAAATTCCCTGATCATTCTGATCTGTTTAATTACAATTTTTACTCTCAGTTATACATGACCCTGTCATGCTAAGTGTAACTAAATTCTTCCACATTATATGTATGTAACTTACATGTAACTTATTTCATACTAAGTACCAGTCTTTGACTGCAGTAAAGAGTTTTATTCCATTTCAGACTTCTGGCTAAATGAAAAAGATATATCTTCTCTAAAATGCAAATGGATATAAAACACAAGTACTGTGTGCTACCTTTTCTCCTTCTCTCAGTAACCAATCCTCTAGATATTAAATGCTGATGCTGCTGTTTTCATTTTGTGAATTGCAAGGAGCGCATAATCCAGTCCCCAACCTCAGACACCAAGGGGAACTATAACTCAGCAAGCTAGGAATATCATCATCCAAATCAGAAGGAAAGGAGAATGCAAAATTAAGATGTTTCCATGGCACCCTTACCCACGCTTAACTTAACCAGGCTTTAATCAGTGAACCCAATTTTCTGGGTTCATGGAATACATTGAATACATAACTTACCATATGAACTGGTTTTGTCCAACATGCTAAAATTTAGGGTTCAGCATGTTATGGTAACACTATCTTTCAAATGCTTTGGCTTTTTTTTTTTAAATTAAAATCCTTGTGATGCCCCTTTTGCCAATACTGGATACTCTTCTACAGAAGCCCAGTGTAGGGCCAACTATTTTACCAAAAATAAGTTTTTTTTAGTAAGAAACCAAACGTACCGCAGGTGGAACGGCATCTTTGGAAACAATGTAAAATGAGGGAGGTGGAGAACATTTGGCCAGTGATCCATGATGTAACAGTAAGGATGTTACAAACATATATAGAAACATGTACACATGTACAGTACTTAAGATAACTGTTAAAGAAGGAAAAAATAGCTGGTCTTTACTGGAATGTAAAAAATACATCAAAATTAGGAATGGATGGGAGAATCTATTTTTGGTCCATGTCATCTGACATATTTTATATATCAACTCCATCTGTTCAGTGCATCCAACAAAACTGTTCATTTCCCCCCCCCCCAAATAATGTAGTTTTGTACAAATATCACTCCCAAACACACACACACACACACACACA